CATAGTCCGCAAGGGCCAATTTCGGCCGAAAAAAAAAAGTATTGGCTTCGCACCCGGTGCATAGTCCGCCCGCCGTGCATAGTCCGACCCTGTGCTTAGTCGACACGAAAATCTTATCATAAACGACACACCTTGACAAATGTCTACTTTCTTAGCTTACAAAGAAGCTTGCATTAAACATACATCATGGTTCACATACTCTTCAACTTACGAAATCCGTCACGTTACGTCATAATGAGCCACCTTAAAAAACAAAACTCCTGTATAGTTCACACGTGTAGATAGTCTCCACAGCCTAAAATTTCAAATGTTAAACATGTGTAGTCCGCAGACTACAGCCCGGCAAATACGGTAGTTGCTTCTAAAAGGGTATGTGCTTGGACTAGATGGTGATTCCTTGAAGAGGATGAAAGCGTTCTGTTGGTGACGTGCTCGCCCAAAAGCGCTGTGGTCGGCGTTCGTGATTGGCCAAGCGTTCACCATGACGTCTTTATTTTTATTAGTTTTGTTTTCATCCACGGAAATAAGAAACATGTCACATTTGCGAACTTTGAGGGTGTTGGTTTACGAATGCCATTACTCAAAGCTTCCTTCGTGTTTTTTGTACACGTCATCTAAATTGAACTTCGCAGCTGATAATAAATAGCAAGGATTAACACTGGTGACGTCATGGCGAGGGAGATCCTGTTGATGACGTCACGGACGGGAGTGATAAGATGGCACCATGGAAACATCTCGGAACTAATAAACGACGAACAAGTAGAAGAATGACGTACGAAGCAAACCACTTTTGAACTGAAGTTTACAAATTAAAAAGAAAGGAATAACACTGTGATACCACGACGAGTTTGGTTTTTATGGTCACGTTTGGTACGCCTGTAAACGAGCAGGCAGTTTAATACTTTAGACCCATGTTACGGATAAAAAAAAAACAGAACGCGGGATGGCCAAAAAAAACATGCTTTTCGTGCAAGGCTCGTCAAATTATGAGGCGCTGGAGGAATGCAGCATTCTGCGTTAAGTCCTTATTTTGAACTCTTTTTGTATTCGCCTTCCGCCCATTGAAAGGCAAGCGAAGGGCCTTAGAACGCACCTGGTGTCGCTGCGCCGCAGCGTTCTTTCGCAACATAAAGTTCGTCTGCTTTCCTCGCCGTGACCATGGCAACGAACGCCGAATGAATAGAAGCACGCACGATACCGCCGCGTGAAGCCAGCAACAGCTGACGCCATTTTACGAACGCCGTCTGCTAGCCAAAGCCGAACGCGGTTTGTCAGATCAACCGCCTCCGCCGGTGCGCATGCTTTTAAATGGGCGGAAGGCGAACAAAAGGAGTTCGAAATAAGGACTTAACGCAGAATGCTGCATTTCTCCAGCGCCTCATAACTTGACGAGCTTTGTACGAAAAGCATGTCCTTTTGGCCATCCCGCGTCCTGTTTTTTTATCTGTAACATGGGTCTAAAGTATCAAATTGCCAGTGTCACAGATATGAGTGCGCTACTTTCTGTCTATAAAATGTACATTCATTTCTTTCATTGAAATTGATAAAGAAAAACTTGGAGATGATATCTAATAAATTGTTACTGCACGTCCCATCTTTTTTTACAGCGGAGCTGTTAACGGCTAGGTTTCCGAGGATCGTGTCCGTTACAAAACACTTGTCGACAAAAATGCCTCTGGACAGCTACCGCCATCTATAAGCGGCGGCGGCAAGCACACAACCAATATGGTTGCCGCCGTCGCTGGCAGATGGCGCCAACTTTTCCAGCTATCATAAAAAATGGATAGTTGGGCGGCGCGTTGGTGGTCATTCATCGTAGGAAACAGCGCGAAAAACAGACGATGACGAAGAAGCACACTTAACGAGCGCAGCGCTCGTCACGTGTATTTATTCGTCCTCGTCTGTTTGGCACGCTGTTTCCTACGCTCTTATCAGTTTCGCTTTTGACTTAGAATGGGTCAGCCGCGTGCCCTTTCGGGGAAAGAAGACTGACTGCGGAAGGAGCGGCGACGTACGCAGCAGCGCGAATGGGTCCGTAACCGCCGCAAAGCCGCTGTCGCCTCGACTTCCACTGCGTCGAGCGCTTCAGATTCCCTTGCCAAAGAAGAGCACATCGCTCGCCTGGAAAGCCGCCGCCGAGAACAAAACTAGCGATGTAAAGGGCGCCGGTGGGCCAACGCCACGGACGATGATCGTGCCACGGAGGCCAAGCGCAAGCGCGAGGCCCGGCGACGACTGCACTCCACGCCGACTGAACAGTTCCCGGGCGCGACGGCGATGTTCCGGAGGGAGTTCGTCACGTGCGCCGTGTGCGGCCGACTCTGGGTCGCCGGAGACATATCCACGATCGGCGGCGTGTCGGACGAGAAGAAACGGGAAACGGGCGCGTGCGCGTTGCGGCAGTGTATCGAGTACAGCTCCGCTGGTCTTCTTTCTTCACGAGAGTAGAAAAGCTGAACGTTTTTTTTTCGTTTTTGTTTTTGTTTTGTTTTTTCCAACACAACCATTTAGTGTCAAATGTACGCATACTTTATCCCCCAAATGTGTGGATTTTTCTTGACCCAAATTGACCGCACTTTCCTTTCTTAATTTGCTGGCATTTTTCTTCTGATCGTCCTCTGGTATTCCTTCAATGTTTTCTCGCTCTCGTCTTTTTTTTTTTCAATTGAGCGTTCATCTGAAGAAGTGAAGAATATAATTTCGTATTCTGGCATTACCTTGATCCAGAGCCGTATATGTAGAGAGTTTGGCCATTCGTTGGGAAGTAAAGGAGACAAATGAGGAGGCGCCATTGGCCGAAAGCGGGCTGGGCGTGTTACAGGGCGTCTTCAAAAATTCGAATGTGACCAACCGGAAGCCGGAAATAATACCCTGGCGGTGGTCGCGAGAAACAAACCTGATAACTGCATTGGAGTAACTCTTGATGGCTGAAAATATGGTACACGTGATGTTTCAATCACGCTCATCCGAAATGATGGTGGAAGAGCGCGACTAGCGGAACAATCGACATAATCCGTACTCCAAGCGCCGAGGGCCGGAAATCTGCCGTCCGAGCGGTCACACTCTGTTCGCGCAAAACAGAGTTGAGCGGCGCATTCGTTTCTTACATCTTTCGGCATGATCATGATCAAAACAACACGTGCACCCTATTTTCAACCACGTAGAGTTACTACATTTCACTCTTACCGGCTTATTAAAACCATATACGAACATAGACCTTTGATCAGAACTGTTTCTTGCTACCACCGCTAGGGGATTCTCTTCGGCTTCTGGTTCGTCAAGAGAGCATGCCAAGCCCTCTTTCCAAGTCAGCCGCACGCCCTGGCTCTGCCCGCGCCTCCCATTGACCTAACTCTCCACATATACGCGGCTCTGGCTTGATCCTGCTGACAATGACCAGAGGAAGAAGAATGCGTTGAGCAACCATAAGCAAAAATGTGTGCGTTGCGCTATACTTCGTCTCACCCTACGAAGGACTAATGGCAAAAGCTACGAACAACCAGATCCAATCACGAGCCACTTAGGAATTGCCTGGTATTTTGTTTCGATAAAGTTACTGAGTGACTCATCAATTTTACATTGCAAAGAAAGCCACGACATACTGGCTCTTTGCACTGTCGAAGCTATAGAAATGATGCAGCGCAGTTTGATAAGGATCTTTATTCGTCCATCCTTAATCAATGTTAAGTATGTCATAGTTTAGCTTGTAGCGTGATTGGACCTGGCGGCCCGTAGCTTCGGCCCTTAGTCTATCGTAGGATGAGACGATGTATAGCCCCGCACACATTACTCCCAACACAAATACAACATGCGCAACCCACACCGATAATGGCACTGTCACTGACAGAGTGAGAACAACAGGGAGTGTCTTTCGAACGCCCGGCCTCCTGCACGCCCTTTACACCTTCCGCCGTGCTCCGGTTGCGCGCGTGCGCTCGACGTGTACCAGATGCGAAATCATTGTGGAAGGCGAGAAGCTCGTGCTGGAGGCGGAACAGCTTAGTCTTTTCCGTGCCATTTTCACATTGTCAGGGACTGTAGGGGTTACTCACTGGACGCCATATTTGAGTGCACTGTTCAGCGCGCATGCTCAAAACAAACTCTCAGTTATAGGCTGCTAAAAACGACCATCTTCATGGTGTGGAATGCACCTAGCAAAAAGAACTGTGCGCGCTCGCCGTCAGTCGGCGCTCAGAAGCAATAGACTCTAGAGTGCCTTCATACACACGCGCGCTTTTGCTTGAGTGGTGACATCTCAGCCATTTTTCCGCCCAATCGTTTTTTTATGCATTTTGAAGTGCGCGCAATCCGGTGTCACGAAGCTCGAGCGCGTAGCTTTGACTAATGCATAGACGCCATTTTACCGCCCGAGTCACGCACCGAGTGCGCATGGGCGTCACGCGCTGGCACATTCAGGGCAACAATGGATGTCTTCACCCTGAGACAGACAGACATGTAGGCACCCTAATAGACTCTAAAGCCCCTCGATGTGTTTGCGCTTGTCTTGCAAGTAGCGTCAAATGCGCGAGTGCACGAGGCCCATGTCTCGAGCGGCCCTTGGAAGCAAATGGCGGCGCAGCACTGAAATGAGCGGGCCTTGGAAGCGAATGGCGGCGGAGCATCCGCTCATGGCACGTGTCTCGAGCGCTTCCACAACAATGGTCGGCGGTACTTGTAAAAAACGCTTTTATCAAGGGGCTTTAATAGACTCAGATATATGGCCGCCAGTTCGTCTGCTTCTTTTGAAGAGGTTGTGGTGACGTCAGAATGCCTAGCTTCGCTCTGATTGAAGGATAGTGGGTAGACCTCAACGCTGCATGCTTTGAGGTCTACCTACCATCCTTCAGTCCGAGCCAATCAGAGCTAAGCGTTCTGACGTCACCACAACCCCTGCCAAAGAAGCAGACGAACTAGTCATCCGCATAGCGTAAGATTATTTTTGTAACGCCGATTATAATGGTGTTTTATGAATACCGCCGTGTCTACCATCTTGTGCGCAGTGGTGCTGCTTCTGGACGACCTGAGCAAGCAGCGTCGGCAGTTCCAGGGCCGCATGCGGCTCCGTCGCTCGGACATGCGCCACATGCAGCGGGCCCGGAACCGCACCCTCCGCCTCACCATCATCATCGTGCTGGCCTTCTTCTGGTGCTGGACTCCCTACGTCACCATGGTGCTCTGGTACCAGTTCGATCCGGACGGCGCCGAGCACGTCAACGGCTACCTCCAGTCGTCGCTCTTCATGTTCGCCGTCTCCAACTCGTGCGTCAATCCGCTAGTGTACGGCAGCTACACCCTCACCCGGAGACGCTTCTGCGTCAGGTGTCCTTTCTTCGGGGCACGGGACGCCAAGACAGCGCCGATGATCGTGCCCGAGGTCAAGCCCGTGGTGCTGCCCAAGGACAAGACGACGGTCGGGGACAATTCGCTCTTTTCGTCGGACAGCTCCGTGTATCCGTACGAGCTGACGATTCGCTTCAAGGGACAACTGTTTAGTAAGTGTTCCAAGGCGAGACACCTGCCGGACTGTTCGTGCGAAAGCTGTGCCTTATCGGGTGAGTTCCTCCGCACGCTCGAGGTCATGCCCGTGAGAATTTGCAGTAATTGTCATTTCACTCCTTAGCATAATCATCATACAAATCTTTTTGTGTGTTTTATAGTCTTTACAAGTTTGTTTAACAAAGTCGTGAAATAATATTTAATACGGGTTGTGCAGGCCATTTATATGGCCCTATGGCCATTGGAAAATTATTAGGCGGCTAATCGCCATGATAAGCGGATAATTCATTAAAATATATTAATTAACATTTTAATTTGAAAAATAAACATTTCATTTTCATGAGAAATTTGCTAAAAATTAAAAAACCCACTAAATCAGTACATTAAAAACAAATACTTGGAGCGCGGGGAAAGCCCAGTGTTGCGCTAAACTTATCACTTCTGCAACCGGCCCATGGCTGTTAAAAAGTTAAGTAACAAATTTTGGTTAATGATCCGACTCATGGTGACAATTAGAACCCCTATAATATGTCCCCTTAACCATATAACTCACCTTCACTGACCGAACTGGTGTAGCTTCGACGACTTTTCTAAGAATTAAGTCTGTAAAACCTAAGGAACATACACCCTGTAAACCAGTAATCTTAAGTAAACAGTCTATCGTTCCCCTTCAATGCGCTTAAATTCACCAGAGTAATAAAAATAGATGGTGCATTCGTACTGAGTGTCACAGTGACGCCATTATCACTGAATTAAATAAAATACAGGGTTGCAGTTCTTATTTTTGCAACAAGCTCTGCACCCTTTTATGCGCACACACTTAATCTCACGAGAATCTAATTTCAGCGCATGCGCGGTCACCACATCTAATGTGGGCAACCGCGGGGTTGTTTGTAGAAGGAGTGTCAGTAAAAAGAATGTCAGCAACAGAGTAGGAGTAATGTTTTTGCTCGATTTAGCATGTGCCCGTTCCTAATACCATTCTGGAAGCTAGAGCATCCCGCCCAAAGAGATAACGCTTTTTTTTTATTATATATTTTTCTCGTTCGACGTTGCAAGTTGACTTTTAGCGTTTGTCGATGGCCAGCATTGGCCAGCATTTTTAAATTTTCTCCAGGCATGCACAGTTCTCTTTGGTAAGCAGTGTTGCAGTCACGTAGGATCGTTGTCTTTTATGTTTATGTACATGCTTATTTGTTGATGCACACCAGCAGCAACATGCCTTCTCAGTGGTGCATCGCACCGCAGACAAAATGAATACACACACATCAAACACACTAAGATTATGTACACACAAATTCCGAACAAAATAAAAACAAAAAAAAACAAAGAACAATATCACTTTTATCATACATACTGTATTTTTTTATATTTATATATGTATATGCATATACATAAATAAATTACCACAGGGCGTCGGCTCATTGTGCGTGGGGGACAAAGGCAAGGACAGTGGGGCGAACGGAATAATAAACACATTGAATACCAAAACATTATTGGATAAAACAAAACACACAAAAATACTACACAATGGCTCAAACAAATGTCATATAATAAGGCGTATAATAACACGGAAATTTTATATTAGGGGGCAAGATAAGAAAGTGCACTAAAATTATATAGTCGATACCGCACAGTGGGGCAGTCGAGTGCGACGGGGCTTGCGAGGTGGAGCTGAAGATCCTTGGACTTACCTCGTGGTGGTGCCGTGCTCTAGGTGCAAGAGGAGGGGTTTGGGGGACGTCGCAATGGCGGGGGAAGTCGGGCAGGGGAAGAGCTCGCAGGGCTGGCGCACGGAAATTAGCCACTCTGTGGCCAGACTGGGTTCTCCTCGCGGTCGCGGTGCCCGTGGGGCGACGTCCAGCGTCGAAGGCTCTGGCGACGGCTGGCTACCAGTTTTCCACATGTACTGGCTTGCCGTTGAACACAATGTGGCACGCAGAGATCGTCGAAACAAAACATAGCCAAAAACCAAAAGATGCTAAGCCTTTCTACTCTGGCAAAGAAGGAAGACCAGCGGAGCTGTACAATCGAAAGTAATGGCCGGCCGCAAGTCGGCAAGCCAGACTGGAAAGGCTGCCGCCATCTATGAGCGACGGCGGCAACCAGAGACGTGGCTTGCCGCCGTCGCTCATAGATGGCGGTAGGTGTCCAGAGTTCGGTGTCTTCATTTCTTTGCGGGGGACACGATCCTGGGAAAACTAGCCCTTAACAACTCCGCTGTAAAAATGAAAGACGTTTACAAATCTCTTTAATGCGAAATTAAGGCTGAGCTCTTAAGAAGGAAGACGGGAGGGTATATGCTCCTCGTCCTCTTCCGTACCCTCTCTTCCTCCTTCCGTCCTCCTCCTTCTCTCCCCTTCTCTGTACCCTCCCCTCCTTTCACAGTTTCCCCACTAATTATATTGTCACAAATGAGAGGCAAAGAGGCCGAATGCAGTTCAAACATAAACGTTTAATACGGCGAAAGTGTTCCGAAAAATCTAATCAGAGGTATTGGCGTTTCTAGCGTCGAAGGCGGCGCGACCGCTGGATCGAGAGCTGGCGAGAGACTGCCCAGTCTCTGCAGCCACGGCAGGCTCTTTTATAGCGAGGGTAGCGTACATCTCGTATACCACCAGGAAAAATATTAAAATATCAATATGCACAAGCAGAAAATAAATGGAACTTGCGAGTTCTTTCTGAATCCTTCCAGGAACTAACAAAGCAGCTAGCCGCCGCCCCACTGCCGCCGCTTGATTCCGAGAAAGCGGCAATATGTACTGTACATACTGTATATCGATGTACATTTGATTCAATTCCGAGCGAGAGCTTGCTTTGTAGACCCGGGTACCTCTATACGTGTCTGTGTGTGTGTTTTTTATCTATTTTTTTTTCCAGTTCTTTAAAAGAGGTTCCTCTGTGTTTCCTGTTATTTTCTTCTTACTACTTTTCCTTTGCCCTTCTGAAATTGTAATGTAGCATGTTGACAGACATCGAATGCTGATTTGGAAGGATGCAGGCGCGGTACAATCTTATATATGTCGAATCGGTAAAGCGCATGGAGATGATGAAAATCCAGATATCATTTTATGCAAAAAGGAAAAAGGAGAGTCGAAATGAATGGAAATCAAATCCGTCTCCGCGGACACCGATTGATCCTCAAAGACACCGTTAAAAAAGTTAGAGATTCAGGTTTGCGCCAAACCCTCGGGGTTTCCGCGAATCCCAGCTGATTAAAAAATGTATTCTCAGAACGAAAATGCCCATGCTCTAGACCTTCTAGCGGAGCAAACATTGCCTTAAAAAAGGTAACAGTCAAGAGAAAACAAAATTGAGTTCCCGGCATTCTATCCGGATCGTTTTGTGCCGCCCAGAGGTAAACAGGAAAAGTTCAGTTCTCAAAGCCGTCCGCTACTCCCTGAGGCATTTGACTCCAAGAACGTTTCTTTTGCGTCACTGTTTTGCTCCCTCCAGGTATGTCTTCCTTTCATTTTGAAGTGTTTTAATTTATTTACTCTTCCTCCTTCGAAGCGGAAAGAAAGGGTCTGACGAGTGGATCCGGTGCGCGTGGTATACGGAATCACTTGCGCAGTCAGACCAGCCGACTGCTCGCCATCTTCGCGCTGAAACCTTACTGCTCCTTTTGTGAATGCGCGATAATAGCGACTAGTGTGGTTTGACGATGGCCACCGATGGAGGCAGGGCACAGCCTCCTCTATAGACCTTTCCAGCGGCAGTCTCGAACGAAGCGAGCGGGCAAAAAATGCTGAGTCACTGAGCTGTGGACGCATGCGCAGCGTCCGATATACTCCAGAGCAGATCAACAGCGCATGCTTGGAAGGCGTTCCACAGCCCAGCAGACAAAGATGGCAGCGCGCAGGAGGCGATTTCTGCAAAGGTCTATACTCACAAAGCCTGGCAGTTCGACAACGGAGTCATAGAACGCCCGGTCGCAGATTTGGAGCGCGAGGATCTGGTATAGCGCAGAGCATTTCTCGGGGAACCTGGACGTCAGCGCACAGCTTTTGCAGCGGCGAGGACCCGAAACATGGTTTTTAAACCCGACGAGAAAAGAAGCGGTAGCTCGAGGAACGCGAGGAGCACGAGCGGACATTCCATCGCACGGGACAAGTGTGTTTCGGTGTCTCGCCGCAGCGGGGCGCTCGTCACCTAGGCTTTCCTCTCATCCGTTGTCTGCCGCTCTACCTTTTCAATTTCGGCGGCCGCTTCTCGTGGCAATCTGCCAGGCTTTGTCAATATAGAGAAGGCTATGAGCAGGGTCACCGCTGGCTGCGTGTGTGCTTCGTTCAACGCTAAGCTGACAGGGCGACGGAAGTGCTCGTTTGATCTGTCAACTGTCGGTCTTGTATCAGGTGATCCCTTTCCCCGCTAATACTCCCAAACACCCCCACTTATTTCGCTTTACACCAATCCGAGCGCAGCCGACCCTACAAGCCGAATCAAGCAGCCCCAAAAATACATGCTGCTTTTGTATTAGAGTTTACAGATTTATTTTAAGAGAGTAAAGAATACTACAGGAATGAGGCCTGCCCAGGCTATTTACGGCCAGGGGGACATGTTATAACGTGCAAATCATCATTGTATGTCGAATATTTAACTAAACTTGTTCATTAACTTTTCAGTGAGAGAACATAGACTAGCGGTTTCAATGTGAAACTTGCTGAGCGCCATCGAAAACCTATAAATGAGTTAATATTTAGAAAGATTTGGGGGGAAGCGCGATGGCGCGCTAAAACAATCTCAAGTGCAACGGGCGCAATGTTGACGGCGCGAAAACATGAGGGCAATACCACGCGAGTGCGTTTTCGCACACGTAGTTTTTGAGACTTGTCTCCGCCAGGGTGCCTTCATATTGTTTTTAGGGAAATGCCACAATTTGTATTGCCTTGACTTCCTGCTGTTTAGAGAAGAGTAAAAAGCTACTAATGGTGTGACTTCACTGCAGCATGCTCACATCGAGCGAAAGTTTTGTGCTGCAGGGTGTAGGGATTCTTCCTTCCCGGCCCCTGCCGGTTTTGGTATGGATGGGAAATGTGCAGGCGTTAAATCGTGTAGCCGCTACAGTCTGTTGTAGGTTGAGTAGCAGCACCACCCCTCCCCCCCCCCCTCCCCCCCCCCTCCCCCCCCCCCCCCTTCCTGCAAAGCTCACCATGACTGCTTCCTTTCCACTCACCACATCTCCAGCGTTCGCTCTGCCAAAGTTAAAAGAAAAGGGAAAGGCATTGTGGGAGGACCTTGTCACGCAATTCTTAACCTGCAACTCACTATAGTTACGTGATATGGAGGGTAGTTACCTCAACCTAGAAGTCGTACCGCATCCAATAAATGATCGATTTACGGTGTAAACTTGAACTTATATCGACAAATCACCAAAGCCAAATTGACCTCTTGCTGTACATTTATTCGCAACGAACAAAATGTGTTGTTGTTGTTTTTTTAGCCGAGCAGTGTTGCTAGACGAGGTAAACGATTTACGTGAACAGAGACTTCTGTGCGCGCTAGAAATTGTTGAGGGGAGCTTCGAAAATTACATTTAATTTAATCTATTTGAAAGCTACTGAGTAAAAACGTGTTACGAAACGTTTGCTGCACCTCGAAATGTACTTAGAATCACTGACAGTTTATGAACCGCAAGGTATGGCTCATTATGTTCACTTTTCTTGCTTCGTGATGGGCTCTTCGGCTTTCTCAATAGCAAATGAGGCAATCTAATTGGTTGTAGAGCGATAATAAGATTCCCTGAAATCTCCGTGCCCTCCGTTTCTTAAGTTGTTTGTGACTATAGTTACTAAAACTGTAACTAACTAAAAGTAGTAGCTTAAATAACTCTACTCTTATTTTCTTTCCCCACTGCGATTTCCACGGTAATTTTAAAGTTTTTTAATAGTATTTTTTTATATTTTCTTTGGCGATAACTTTTACTCTTCCAATAATACTGCCGCGATCTATAGTCCGTTGCAACTGAAGAAGGTAGGGCGAGGGTAAGACAGGCCGGGGAGGAGGAAGCAGACGGAACGCTAAAGAGGGAAGGAGGTTTCCGCCTCTCTTGTCCAGCGTTCTGTCTGCTTCCTCCTCCCCGACCCGTCTTACCCTCGCCCTACCTCCTTGAGCTACAACGGACTATAGTCAGCCCAACTGCCGGTTAATATTGTATTTTATTGACTTTGTTGGCGCAGGTCGCTACGGAAAGGGCTCCAAGTTCGGATCTTCGAGCCTCCACGACCCTAAGCAGACGTCTTCTCCAACCAATCACAGCATGTGATGCCCTTCTCGAACACTAATGGAAAGACGCACGTGGTTAATCGAGACTCGTCGTTGGGCTAGTTGGTGCAGGATGCTTAGGAGACTTGTAAGTGCGAGCAAAGATGGACACGAGACGTCGTGGCTTCGGAAGAACCTTCAAGTGTTGCCTTTGGTCGTCGGAGTCATCATCGTCCAGAGTTTCGCTCGCGAGCAGTGTCGACCGCATTTGTCCGTGCATGCAACCTAGGAACTTGTTGAAATGTTGGGTACAGCCGAGTACAAAAGACAAAAGAAAGAAGAAATGCTGGCTCAATGTAATGAAGTGAAAACCAAATATGTGTGAAATTAAATCAGGTTTACATGTTCAAATCTACAGACTTATAACAGCAGCAGTACAATGCAATTTCTTGAAGGAATGCTCCTATTTTCATTCAAAACTTTATTTTCAAAGTGTAAATCTATGAAAACAAAATTTCGAGGACACCTAAGCACTTCTTACAAGTTGTGAATGCGAAAGCATGAATGTCGTTCTTCGCGCCGCCGCCACTTCTGATCCTCTCGGTGGGGGCCACGGCGCCATGGAGTGTGGGGTGGCGTTCCTTGGAACTATGCCGCGCGCCAGCCATTTGGAGTCCATCTATCAATTCGCTGCTACAGACTACAGGCTTCGCTCCATCGAACAGTGGAATTCAGGTGCCGTTTGGCGCGGCTTCAAAAGTTGATAACGCCGGTTCACTCCATGAGACAGTTAATGTTTTCGCATTAAAACAAGTAAATACTCTGTAAAACCGCTGTCACATGGCCAGACATCATACAAAAGACATCTCTGCAGACGTGAAGAAAGAGTTAGCTTCAAGCACTCTTGAAGTATGCCTGCTTCGTACATATATTCGAACATGCCTATGGACAGTCTTTGTATGACCAATGTGTCAGGACCGTCAGACAAGAAATGCCTCAAACAGTGTCTGCTGCAGGCTTTCTTTGGTATGTTTATTAGCAGTGTGATTGTGGCCTTAAAGGGATCGTGAAAGGTTTTCCCAAAATCTGAGCTTTATGTCCATTTTGAAATCTTGTCTTTTATTACAAACCCCACGTTCAATCTTTTCATCATACGTCATCAGCGTGATGTCACCGCCGGAGCGCCGTGTGCAAAAGGTGCGCTTCGGACTTGATCTGTGCTCGTTGTGTGCTTCGGTCGGTAGACTGTGAGGCGACCGCGTCTACATCTACGGCCTGGACATCGGCACCAGCGTCTGCATCTACGGGGGCTTCGGAAAGCAAACGTGGCCGCCCACGCTAATACGCCACAGCCTCTTTAAGTGTCCGCCTCTAGACGTCGTTTTCGACGTCGTCCTAGACGACTTTTAGACGTCGTTCTCGACGTCGGCCTAGATCACTTCTTTGAGGTCCTCCTGAAGGTAGTCCTAGAAGTCGTCCTAAACGTCGTCCTCGACAACATCCCGGACGTCATCCTTGACAGACTTTCGCCTTCCTACGTGTAAGCAGTCTTAAAGGGATACTGAACCATGGAACTTAGTGTCCATAATAAGTGGCGCACGTTCTTTTCACGAGCCAGCAGCCGCCGGTGTGCGCGAGCACACGTAACAAAAATTGCGTCAAAGACCTCCATTCGCGGTTAAGATGGCAGTGAAATATGTATGGGCTTCGGGCCAAAAGAGAATAAACACATTTTTTTCATCTACACAGTGGTGTCTGGTGTAAAAGGGAAGCGATTAATTGGTCTAACAAGCACGTGGCTTTCACTCGTAGAGATGAAAAGCCTGTCTTTATTCTCCTTTGGCCCGAAGCCCATGCACTTCACTGTCCTTTGAAGCGTGAATGGAGGTCTTTGATGTCATTTTCGTTGCGTGTGCCTGCACACACCAGCGGCTGCTGGCTCGTGTAAAGAACGTGTGCCACTTATTATGGACACTAAATTCTTTGTTTCAGTATCTCTTTAAGTGTATTCACGTGCATTTTGTTTTAAATTCTTTTCTTTGGGCACTCAACAAATACGTAATGTGATATATTTCATTTTTTTTTTTTTATTTTAATGATTCAAGTTTGCCCTTTAGCGCGAAGGATACGCCGCCATTCTCAGTTCCTTTTTTTTAATTCATCTGTACAACACCATCTCATCCTGGTTGGACGTGGCTCTGAGGGCCTTAAAGTTATAGGCTATTTGCCTTTCTTCGTCGTCGCGGCTCTCCTGAGCCGAAATAAATATTTATCTATCTCTCAAGTATATCTGCCAATAATTAAAGGGGCGGTGGAACGATATTTGTTTTGAGCGTTTTCTTTTTTGCATGAGCTGACTGGCACTAGTGGGACCCAAGTACACTCGCACGGAACGCCACTGACCAAGAAACCTCTTTGTTGCGGTGTAATTTCAAGGAGAAAGCGAGCGTTTTCTTTCAATCTCCCCTTCGCAATTTTCGATGACGTACCCTGGTGGTTGCAGCGTCCTTCAGGGACGATATTTGAATACGGCTTATAGACTGGACCTGAGCATTGCGTGAGCACTCGATTTGGGCTCGTGATAATTGATAGCTCGAGAAGCATTCGGGGAGTGGCCCGTGTCCAATCACTGCGATGACGACAATAGAGAGTTTTAGTAGATCGTTCCCATGACTCCGATAACGATACCCGATACTCCGCCACCGCCTCCCTTGTGCATGCATAGTATCGTTATCGGTGCTATCGGAGGTATCGGAACGATCTACTAAAACTCTCTAATAGCCGAGGCATAAAATGTCTGGAACTCAGCGCGTGTCCTGTGGCTTGCCAACCCCAGCGCGTGGCTATGATCAACATTGGCGGCATATAATTCGCTCCAGATGTGGCCGCTTGTTCTGGCTGCGAGTTGAGGAGGTGAACGGTGCTCGTTTTTCTTTAATTTTTGCTGCGACTGATACTGCGCGTGGTGAAAAACGATCGCATGTTCCACAGTTCATTGCCGTCAGGGATTCGTCCTGAGCGGTATTTGCGCAAAGTACAAAAATCGTTGCATCGCCCCTTTAAGAAATGAATGATTCATTGAGCACAGAGGCATGTGTTTATTATCCGCTGAAAACACAGACGATATGTCTCGGTGGAAATCAGCGCGAGGGGGTTATAGCAATCGCAATAGGTGAAGAGTTCATTTCTTACAAAGCTGAACGTCAATAAAATCAGAAGTTGAGCACTTTTTTTCAAGTTTGCTGTCTATGAGGGGATATTCTTTTATATTACAACATTGCGCTACGAGTTGTTTGCGCAGTTTGAGTTGTGATATTATGCAATGCAAGCGTGACGTTTTGCATTGCTCTATGTCAGGACTCGGACAGCGTTTTTTGGTCTAAACATATGTTTCGGCATCGTCATTCGCTGAGCTGCTTCCGTTAGTTGCGGTGATTGGCTCTCCGAGTGTTGTGCGGGAAAGTAGATGCACGGGCTTTTTCTAGAGTGCACGGTAATCCCATTTGCATTAATGAAAAAGAAACTACTAAGGTTACAGGGCTTCAAGTAACGCGCCACAGAAGATATATCTTTTGAAAACGATAAAGTCACGGAAAATCATAAGCAAAGATTACGATAAAAAGAAAAATAGAAAGTTCGAGAGAATAATCATCTAAAATGTCAGAGTGCGCCAGGAATTGTCAAGCATCGAGACTTAGGTAATAAAGTTATTTTTATGTTAAGGCCACTGACGTGCGCGCTGACGCAAGCATCAACTCTGGGCAGAATGTCTTGTGTCTCGCAAAGCTCGCCAGTTTTAATTTCCCCGAAGCATTTTAGGATTTTCATGCGGCTAAACAGAGCAGAGCGCTTGCTACCGTTTATATGCAGCGAATGTTCAACCAACTAGCCCGCCAGATGATCTCGAGGTTGATGCACCCTCTCGAACTACAGACTAGTAAAAGAATCATAAAAAGGAGTAAAGGTGGCATGCCCGACGAGGGTTTATATGCTACATGACACGCCGCCCGGCTCAGCAGCGTCCATCTATCCATATGTCTAATTAATCCCTATGCGCCTGCGCTACGCAGTCCCCGCTTCGATGTGTTGCGGCGCCGATTACGTCAAAAGAACAGGGAGCCTTTCCGAATCACTGTCGCCGAGACCCGTCTAGCAGTCTCAAGGCCATCGCCACTGCGTCGAAAAGCAGACGAGTCATTCTCCGTTTCGCTGGCTGGGGTCACGGAAAAACGGGCAGTCTTTTCGTTTTATACGTTCATTACGGCTGTATAAACTTGTTTGGTGTTCTCACGAAGCAGACTGTCGGCACGTTTCTGTGAGACTTTCATGCCACAACGCCCGAGCTGTAGATTCCGTGGACACGTGCGCTGTTTCTGAATTCTGTTCTTGCGTAAGTTACTGGCACAGTGTACGAGCTATCGGCGTCTGCATCGTCTCTGTGCGCGTCCCAGGATTATTATGTCGCGACTATAAAGTGATATCGACATACCGCAAACGTTTAATGTGTCACGGTGCAGCTCGAGCTACAAGTCGGGAACGAAAGTGTATTTGTTTTCGTTTTCCCGAGACGAACTGTTGCGGAAGGTTTGTATACGTGCAATACCACGAGAGGATTTGGTTCCGTCCAAGCACACAAAGGTGAGTCTCATTTTTGACATTTGTGGGTTTTCCTCAAAATGCAAAACAAAGAGCGGTGCAGACGGTGCAATCGAGGCCGGAGTAGTAGAACGACGACATAATAGGGGCAGCAGTCGCCTCATATCTTATCACACCTGTCAAGTAGCTGTCATCTATACAAAACTAATATATATTTCAAGGTGTGTGAGCGTCATTTCACGGGCGAGGACCTAGTTCAGGAAGCTTCATATGTGGACAATGCTATGGGATGCTTGGTCACTGCCCCTTTGACCCATGAAGACCTTTTCGGAAAACACGAGCAACTGTCTGGCGCCCAATATCATATGTCGATGCGGGAAGTCTGCGAAGGCGAACATTAGTTGCGGCTCCAAAACACACTGCCGTCAATCGCCATGGCTTGTAGAAAAGCTGGCGCTGGAGACGATGAATGGCAGGACGTTCACAAACGAGAAGGCACGCCACCCCCTAGCTGCAACTTGGTAGTAACCGACGAGGCGCTGTCAAAAGTAAGGGACATTATCCCTGTCCTGATCTACTTGGCAGGCTATGCAGTTTACGCCGCTTTGAAAAGAAAGCTGAAGTGCGCAAAATGCAGGGCCGCGTTGACGGTAAGGAAGCCATTCAGAGATTCTATCTCACAGATACGTTACGACCGCGTAAAAGA